AAAACACTGACGTATACCAAATGTGGCACATTTGAAACTTTGTACAAGTAAATGCACCTTGTAAATGCTAAGGAGCAAAATTCTGTTCAAAGAGTTCTGAAAAAGTGAATGGTAGAAACACAGCTCAGGGCTGGGTGAGGAAGCACAGTTCTGCATTCAGACCATATTATTAGGTTAATCATAAGATCACTGTCCTTTGCAAGCTTTCAAATTCGCCAGCATTTTTCATCAATTTGGAGGTTAAACAAATGGGAGCGGAGGGAGCAAAAAGGAAACAAAGCTGAACAACAGTGAACTGGCAGCCTTTTGTCACAGCCTTTAGGGAAACAAAGGAGGTGGTAGCAGACATTCAAATTAGGTTTTAATAGGTGCTGGAAATGGTTCACGTTATACAAAAAACTGCCCACTAAACTGCCTAAGATGAAGCAGAAAACGATCATTGATCTCTGTTTTGAAATTATACAGTCCAATTGTTGCTGAAATGCGGCCGCTCAAAAAGCAAAATTTCTTTAGTAACACCTTGAATTGTAACAACTTATTATTATTCATATATTATTCATAGTCTGTTTGGTTCTGGTTTAGCCTATTGTATAAAACCAGATCTTTTCACTTGTCAACCATAATTTACGGCTCATATGTTATGTGAACACAACCAAATGCAGTTTGTTCAATTAACATGGTTAAGTAAACCATGACTTAGTACCTGTTGGTTGGTAACCAGTTAGGACTTCTACTCCCAGAATTTCTCAGCCAGGTCTACAAGAAACCTGAGAAGTTAGAGAAATCACAGCAATGGTTTTATAAACGGAATCCTTTTCCGATGCACCTCATCAAATTTCAAGTTTCTCTCCAGCTTACATTAACTGCATTTGAACCTTACTTGCAATTAACAAAGCTGCATTCACACATTATGCTAAACTGCAATGTAATTTATTTGGTTCAGGCTTAGCATGCTGTGAGCACACTAATTGGTATTTATTCATTACATCATGCTTAAACAAGCCATAATTTAGTATAATGTATAATTTCACCCAATGTTTCAATACATTACTGTTGCATATAGTGTCATAATACTGCCATGATGCCTGTGGAATATGATCCATTAAAAGTTTCATTTTCTATATCAAAGAACAATACTGGAATAAAATGTGGTCAGCCTCATGAATGACATACTGTATTTATTACTATGTATTCTACTGAATGATTTATTGTTAAATAATTTACTAATCTCAGATCCTGGATTGGAGCCAATTAACGCTGCAATCCTGAAACACATTTAATAGAAAGCAAAACAATCTTAACCAGTGAAGAAGTGGCAGATCAAGTTTTAAAACTGATCTCAAAAACTAAACCCTTTCTGATCCAGGGACAAAATTACCATTATATTATGGCAAATCCCAGACAGTTTGTCCTCTTTTGCATTATATTCTGGCAGAGAGGGGAATTACTTTTATTTATATAGCACCATTCATGTGTACATCACTTGACCCGGGTGGGGAAATCTGTACCTCCTGAAATATTGAACTCCCATCACCTTAGATCATTAATCATCTGGCTGAGGCTGATGGGAGTCATACTCTGAAAGAGCAGCATATTAAGGAAATCTGCAGTAAAGTAAAGGATTAAGAAACAAAGCCAAAGGCTTCACAGAAAAGCTGGATTTTCTAAGGAAAGGAAGTAATGTTTAACTCTTTCCTTCTTGCCAATAGTTCTGCCATTCACAGATGTTTTTACTCCCATTGGACTTCGAGGCCATTTTTGCAGGATAAATGGATAAGAAACACCAGCAGGGATGAAAGTAGATCTTAGGGGAGAAGAGAAGAAAAACTGCATAGATTAAATATCCCCTTCTCTCTCCAGCCATTTTCCAGTGCACAGTTATCTTCTGCTCCCGTCAGTGCCATCATGCAAGGGAGAAAAAGCTGCCAAGTCCTTTTTACACAAAGTGTAATGTGTAGTTTGTTGCACAAATGCAATTTTTTCAGAGATAAAATGATCCGCATCTGCATCAACAATAGGTAAAAGATTTGAGGAGTCAAGATTTGTGTTTGGGGCACAGAGATTAGACTAACATCCCACGTTGGTTTGGGATGATATCAGCAATGATTTATTAGTCCGATGAAGGCTGGAATTATTCACAGAAATAATTCATGGAAAATATCAATGGCTCCAGCTCTTTCAGCAAGGGCTGAATAAAATACCTTTGGTCATAAACTGGAAGCAAGCACTGGGGAATTGTTCTGTCCCATCATGTCCTCCCTGTAAATTTTCAGAGAATTTGACCATTGCTGGAGAAGTCTGAGATCTGATCATTCTTTGTTCCAACTAGTCATTTATTATACAATCTCATGTTGTCTTCTTTTATTTTAGATAAAATAAAGGCCTCAATCTCATGCAGAGATAATTTGAGAGTCTTTAGCACGCCCACCTAAATTCAGGTAAAGAACCAAACCTCTGCTGTGCGTGTCTTTTATAAACATAAACAATTATAATCTCAGATAAACCTCCCACATATTCTACCACCCATCACTTGGAGGTGAGCCTCGACCACACAATCCACTTCTGTTAACGTGCTTAGCTCAGCTTGGGAGGCGGACAGGACAGGACAGGACATATTTAAGAAGTGGCTAGATGGCACCCATTATTCAATTCATTGCATCCCCCAAAGTAGCTCCCAGCGTTCTCTCCCTTTGATGTTGTCAGAGCAGAGTAAAACAGAGCTTGATAAAACCACCTGTTTCCAACATCGCTGAATATAGATAAAAGCTAGCAGTCACAGTGTAACCATTACTTTCCGTGGGTTTGGCTTGCATCCAGCACTACCGCCACCACTGCACACGTACCCCTATTCTTTCAGTGGCTCTCTCTGGCACATCGTTCCTAAATAGGTTGGCAATCTCTTTCCCAGTAGGTCAAGGATTTTGGCTCTTGCAAGAATTCAAATTGTAAAGCAGCCTTATCTGGGTACCACAGAGGATCAGAACCTCCCTTGCAGGCCAGTGCTTACAAGGTCAAAGGCAAACGAGCAGGCTGGTGAAAAAGGAGAATTACTCCAGCCCGTTCTCCGCTAGTCCATTTCATCAAAGGGATTTTTAAAAATGAAGCAAGTAGTAGCCTGTATTTTCATGCTAACTGTAGAGAACTTTTCTTCCTCTGCAGTTAACTTAGAAATGCAGACAAACATTCACTTCACCGGTTAGTTTTTAAAAATGATTTCTATTAAATGGCCTTGGAGAGAGGGGTAGACCAGTGTTTCTCAATCTCAGCAACTTTAAGATGTGTGGACTTCAACTCTCAGAATTCAGAATTCCTCAGCCAGGAGAACTTGATTATCAGCTCCCTCCAGATGCACTGGGCTATCCAGTAATCATACTATTATGAGAGTTTAAATCCCACACATCTGGATTTCAGAATTAAAATTCTTTCACTCTAATTCCAGGTTGCTGAACTACCTTGTTAACATAAAAGATGAATCCTGGGGATGAAAAGTAGTAATTCCAGGAACGTTGGTTTAGACTGTTTAAATGGTTGCTTTTAACCTTATAATGCTGCCCAGAGTCATTACCAAGAGATGGGCAGCCATGTAAATCAATTAAATAAACAAATCTAAATGTATAAAGTCTCAAAATACAGAGCCTACAGTTTCCAGTCCTAATAACGTGCACCGTGAAGTGTAAGGAAAGTCTTGGTTTGAAAATAATTTCCTATCTTTTATTTTCTGTGTAAGACATTGTAGCCCAAAAGAAACCACAAATAGCAATTCATTTTTCCTGTCTTCATCCTCAACTAGAAGCTAGTATAATCAGCAAGTCTTAGAACTCTGAATTCCAAATCCAGTCCCCAAAACCTGAGTGTTCTTTTTCTGCTCCTTTAAAGAAAAGGGGAAGGAAGCAAGCCTCTAGTCTTCACAGTTATATGTGAGAATACATGTTTTCAATTCTATACCCTATCTCATGCTTTCAGTAGGATTAGCATGGTCTTTATTTTATACTGAGATTGGGAAATAACATTCTATAGCTAACTGAGTGTTCTTGCTTAAATTGGCTCAATTTGGAGTTATAGAGATCTTCCAAACTTTTCACTGAAACCATGGAGTTTACTTTAAAAACAAATAGAGTATAAAATGAATGCTGTGTCTCAGGATATTCAGTTCCCAATCAAGATAGCAAATTCTCACTTTTTTAGGCATCAGAACTGCAAGAAAGGAGTCATTATCAAAACTGGCTAGTCATCACCAAACTGTATTGTGCTGACAAGTATTTACTTAATTTAAAAAAAGAATTAAACAGGAACATATATATGAGTCATTTTGATGGAATTCCCCCTTCGGTTTATTATATACTTTAAAAAAAATCTGACTGCTGATCAGATGCCCATTATTACGCCATCCTTGCTCTGGTTCCAGAGAACACACCAATTTCAGATAAGCAAAGGAACAATACACGCTAAGTAAACAATGCAGATAGCCTCTGTAACCTTTTCAAAATGCCAGGTCCCTAGATCCACACTTGCAAGAACAAAATACAAAACCCATTTCAAAACTGCAATTAACTACTATGTACTTTAATTGGGCACTCAGGGAATGAGCAGATTTGAGGTTTCTCATCCCAGGTTAATGTTGGTCAAAAGGGAAGTAAGAAAGAGCAGAAAGTTATGAAAACCAAACAAGACACCGAGTGAAATCCAAATTTTAAACCGGCCTCTTTCAAAAGCCTTAATGCAGGGAGAGGCTCATCGGGTTTGCAAAGGGGGACTGAACTCTGCTGGTCAACACTCATCGCTCCACCGTGCTGGAAAGTTTGAGGGCCCTTTGCCAAGTTCCTTTCATAAGCAAATACCGACACAATGATGCCATTCATATTCCTGAGTTTACTCAGGCCCAGAGACTAAGTTACATATGCAGCAGAAAGAAGCAAAGGGAAAGATACTTAAAGATGATGCTCACAGGCATGGCAAGGAAAGAAACAGCTAACAAAGAAAGATCCATAAGCTAGCCTTACCTTCAGTCAGCCAAGTTTCCTGAAACTGGTTTAGATCAAGGAAGAGATCTGCAAGGAAATAGAGCAGAGCATGGTATCACAGAACAACGGTTCTGGAGCAGCACAGAAGGTAGATGTTTGAGAGAAAAGGCTGAAGTGAAGCAGCCAAGAGGCCCAAATCCAGTACAGAAGCCCAATATAATCTAGGGACGTCATGAAACAAACCAAACATTGTAACAGGTTTGGAACAAAACAGTCACACCAAGAACATCCCATACGAGGCTATATTCTGGAATTCAGGGAGTTTTATTCCAGGCTCACAATCCTAAACATGCCAACTCTAGCCTGGGTAAAAATATTGTTTAAGTCCTGTCCTAAATGGTAATAAAGAGGAAGCTTGCCTCAACTCCAGCAGCTGTTTTTTCACAATTGCACTAGTCCCATGGAAAAAAGCAGAATGAACAAGCTTGCAAATCTATCTGTGTCAGAATTGCAAGTGATGCCTCCCTAAAAAGACTGTACAAGAGGAAAGGGGATAGTCCCACCGTCTGCACCATGGCCAGGTTGGCTGCAGCTGATCTGTGCTGGTGTTGAACAACATATGAGAAACCTTAATATATCATTGTTTTGACTCCACTTGTTTATCTATGCCATCCCCAACTTTTGTATGTTTGTCTCATCTGCTGATCTCCTGTGTATAAAGATGCAAACCTTTGAACATCCAAATAAGAAATCTCAGGTTATTCACAGGATGGGTATGATTGGGGTTGCTATGAAAGGCGCTCCCAAGACTCAACCTAGAAAAGTGCTATCTGTGCTCTCATCCCTTTGTGGAGAATGAGGCACAAAGGCTATAGTGTTGCTCTAAGATGGGGGAACTAGCCCCACATCCCCATTCATTGGGTTATCTTGGGCCAGTCCCTCTCTCTCTTTCTCCTAAATACTTACAGGTCCGTCAGGAAGATCAAAGGAGGCTAGCGGAGAAGCACCTTTGGATCCTGACACAATATATGCTGAATGGGCAGGTAAAACTGATTTTCCTAAATGCAGCCCCCTCACTCGTATGCTCAGAGCTGCCCCATTGAAACGGAAGGCCAGCTGTGCGGCCTGCAAGCATCCCACCCCCTACTTAGCCGCTGCAGAATTACAGAAGATGCATTTCAAAGCTGCCTAAGAAGAGGCAGCTTTTTCTGACCTCAAAAAAAAGTACTTCTGTTCCCACTGGAACCCACCAGAAAGTCCCAATGACTGACATCCAGTCTCAACAGAGAATATTAACCTTTTAAATGTTTTATTTAGTGTCTAATGGTGAGGAATATGGACATTCTTAAGAGAATTCTTTTAGATTGTTATCCAAAGACTTTGTCGTATAGGAGCAAGACATATCCACTTCACGCTAAGAGGATTCTGAAAAAAAGATTTATTTCCTCACTCTGTTGCCCTCCTAAGACAAAAAGATGATCTCAGAATATTCCTTATCCTGTTCACTGGGTAAGCACTGCAGCCATTGCAACTGCTCTCCATCTAGGCTGCAGGCAAATTCAGGGACTATGCAAAGACGGAAAGTACAGCTTCTGGAACATCATTAGCAGTTATACAAGTTTATTTCACTGTTATCCAAAATAAAAGAATCAAAAACGGTTTTTAGTAGATCATGCACTGTCCATTAATCTTAGGGAACCTGGGTCCATGATCATCTATGTTATTCCCAGTTTGCAAAACAGGAAGCATGGTTGCCCTGAGACATCATTACACTCCCAAATCAGTTTGAAGTGTCAAGCTAGAATAAACCTGGGTCAGAATTCAACCCATCTTCTCTGATGCCCCCCCCATCTGCCCCTGCTCCCCCCCCC